ACAAATATATGATCTATAACAATTCTTATGGAAGAATTTTCTTAGTAACACATGATAGTTGTTTTTTTTGTCATCTGACAATTTTACGTTGATGTACACTTTCAAGATTAACCGAATTTAATAACTAAACATAAAAATAAATATGAACCTATATAATGGTATGTCTATTTATTTTTAAAATATCGAAATACCATTTCAAATTTGAAAAATATATAAGAATTTAATATATCTTGACATATGAATATGAAAGAACAAAGAGATTGACGCACTTCACTAACACTTGATAAGAAAGTGATCATACAACACATTATTTAAAGATAATAAATATGGAGCATGTACATGGGTGAAACCGAGCCCGTTGAACACCTCGGTTCTCGGTAAAAACAAAATGGAGCGAAGACGTGACCGTAAGGAATCACAATCGGGGCAAGGAGCCCCTCGTATCGAGATTCGGGAGAAACACCTACACTCAGAAGAATCGGGCCACATCCCCGGGGACCGGTTCGAATCCCAAAGTTTGGAGAGCTCTACCTGACAATCACACACGCCTAGCAAAGGGCCATGATATTCGCGCCCAAGCGGATGTCACAACGTAATTCTCGGCCCGTATCAGCAAAGGATTAGTGATTAGCAAGAAGAAGGATTTTTACCCTTTTTTAGAATTGTATTTAGGGTCAAACCCCTCTAATATATAAATGGGAGTCTAAATATTCATGAAGGCACATGGTAACACGCATATCAAGGCAATGTACTCTTACTTTCTCTGTTATTCAAAGTTCTGTCTTTTGTTCATCAGTTCTTAATTAGTGTGAGCCCGAGATCGGAGGCAATACATTTCATGCAGCTGTTATTGAGTCCGAGGTCACTCCCCTGAATTGGTTTAACAATTTATTACGTCCCTTTTCTGTTTAATCTAACGTCATTTATCATTTGAATTGAATTAATCCGCTTATCCTTAAAACCACTTATAAATTCAATTATTATCCGTTTTTTAGGGTAAATACTTTGGCGCCCACCGTGGGCTGAGGTTAATAGCAACAATTTGATACAAATTTTCATAACGTACTCTATTTTACACTTGTTCTTTGAGCTTTTAATTTCAGGTTAGATTAAAAATGTCAAACTCCTAATCTTCCCCTTTGAACGTTGATGTTGAGTCTAGCCACCATGGCAAGAACAACAATGTGGTACCCAGTAACGAGGTACCCCTTGTTGACCCCAACGGAGTTCCGGTTGTGGACCCGATCGATGCTAACTCACATGTGGCTATTGATGCAAACTTGACTACCGACCCTGAGAACAACATCCGTGGGGGAGCCCGACCGGTAGCCCGGTGTACGCACAACGGCAAAGGTGATGGGATCAACTTGTGAGTGAACTTCAAAATGTTGCAGGCTCAAAAAGCAGCAATAGCCTAGTTGCAGAACAAAAGCCGCACCCCCAGCAGAGTTAAGCCCGAACCATCTCGGGAAAACGCTCGCAAAAATGAACCAACCGCAGAAAGGCCGAGTGAAGCTGAACCCAGGACCAACCCCGAGATAATAAAGATGCTCGAGGAACTAACAAAATGGGTGGAATGGGAAGAAAAGAAAATTGAAGCCAATGACAAAAAAGTGGTAACCTCTAACTCTAGGGTTGATCAAATCCCAGGAGCTCCACCGATACTGAAGGGCCTGGATTCCAAGAAATTTGTTCAAAAGCCTTTCCCTTCGAGCATAGCTCCGAAGCCAATCCCGAACAAGTTTCGAATGCCTGAAATTCCAAAGTATAACGGAACAACTAATCCAAATGAGCATGTGACCTCCTACACATGCGACATCAAGGGAAACGACTAGGAAGATGACAAAATTGAATCTGTTCTGCTGAAAAAGTTCGGAGAGACCTTGTAAAAGGGAGCCATGATATGGTATCACATTTTACCCCTAATTCTATTGACTCGTTTGCTATGCTTGCAGATGCCTTTGTAAAAGCACATGCCGGGGCCATGACCAGGAATTTAGAACTTTTCAACGTAAAGCAAAGAGATAACGAGATGCTCAGGGCTCAGGGAATTCGTGTCGAGGTTTCAAATGGAACGGATGGATCTACCTCCGGTCGCGGACGATTGGGCTATTCAGACATTCATCCAAAGACACAACCCCCAAAACTCATTGGCTTCGCAGCAATTGAAACAAAATTTGATACAATACCCGGCGGTAACTTGGACCAACATCCATAACAGGTACCAATCAAAAATTAGGGTCGAAAACGATCCGCTCAGGGCCCGTTCCGGATCCGTCTATCCCGTCAGAAGCAATGACAAATCCAAAAGAGCAGTCGATCATTAACCAAAATCGAACAGGGATCAGTATCAACCAAACAGCGGAGATCGAAGGGGAAATGGGTCCGGACACAACCCTGCGAGAAGTGAAAGAAGGAGCGATCGAGGCCATAATAACCGGGGACTCATGAGAAAAAATAGTTTTGACAGACCCACCGGGTCTAAAGAGGCACCAAGGTTATCAGAGTACAACTTCAACATCGATGTTGCCGGCATCGTATCAGCAATCGAACGCATCAAAGATACTAAGTGTCCTCGACCTGTAGTCTGATCCTGCCCAAAGTGACCCCAACCTAATGTGTAAGTATTATGGCACTCACGCCCACAGAACCGAAGACAACCGACTATTGAGAGAAGAAGTAGCCTGGTTATTCAATAACGGACACATTCAAGAATTTCTGAGTGATCGAGCCAAAAACCACTTCAGGAATAGGGACTCTAACAAGTAGATCGAGCAAAAGGAACCTCAGCACATCATTAACATGATCATTGGCGGAGTTGACGTCCCCCAAAGACTGATGTTAAAGAACACTAAGGTGTCCATTACAAGGGAAAATAGATGCGAGATTATGTATCGGAGGGAACCGTATCTTTTAACGATGAGGACGTTGAAGGCATCGTACAACCACATAATGATGCACTGGTAATATCTGTACTCATAAATAAATCTCGAGTTAAGTGTGTGTTAATTGATCCAGGTAGCTCGGCCAATATCATCAGATCGAGGGTCGTGGAACAATTGGGTCTACAAGACCAAATAGTGCTCGCAGTCCGAGTTGTAAACGGATTTAACATGGCATGCGAGACTACTAAAGGGGAGATAACCCTGCTGGTAAACACCACCAAAACCGTTCAGGAAACAAAGTTCTACGTGATCGAAGGAGATATGAGATACAATGCTCTGTTCGAAAGACCATGGATTCAAAACATGAGGGCAGTACCCTCGAGACTACATCAGGCACTGAAATTACCCATACCAGGAGGGATCAAGACAGTTTATGGAGAGCAGTCAGCCGCGAAATAAATGTTCGCGGTCGATGAGGTGACCCCAATATCCGCACTCTCGACATAAAAAAACTCGAGTTCGGTTACCAAGCAATAAACAAAATAGCAATCACCGACACCGGCCCTGACCGAACCAGATAGGTAAGAGATGGGCGAGGATGATGATTACGGAGTCCGTAGGTCGTTCATAACCCTTGACAAATCCGATGCCACCAAGTCAACGATCGAGGAGCTGAAACAAGTCATATTGATCGAACACCTGCCCGACCGGAAGGTATACTTGGGCACGGGACTAACTCCTGAGCTTAGGAAGAAACTCATTGAAATCCTTATAGCTAACATAGATTGTTTCGATTGGTCCACCTTGATATGATAGGGATCCCGCCAGAAATAACTACTCACAAGTTAATCTTGGACCCGAAGTTCCACCTGGTTAAACAGAAGGGGAGGCTCCAATCCGAATTCAAGCACGCATTCATAAAAGACGAGGTATCCAAACTCCTTAAAATAGGTTCCATTCGGGAAGGTAAGTACCCGGATTTGTTAGCAAACGTAGTAGTAGTTCCTAAAAAGGGAAATAAATTAAGAATGTGTGTAGACTACAAAGACTTGAACAAGGCATGCCATAAGGACTCTTTTCCTTTGCCCAACATCGATCGCATGATCGGTACGGCGGCCGGCCACGAGATACTCAGCTTTCTCGATGCCTATTCTGGGTACAACCAAATTCGGATCCAGGCGATCAGGAAAAAACTTCCTTCATCACAAAATATGGCACCTATTATTATAACGTAATGCCGTTCGAATTAAAAAATTCCACCGCCGCTTACCAACGCCTAGTAAACCGGATGTTCGAAGAATAAATAGGAAAATCAATGGAGGTTTACATTGACGACATATTAGTTAAATCCCTACAAGCAGAGGACCATTTGGAACATTTGCAGGAAACCTTCAACATACTGAAGAAGTACAACATGAAGTTAAACCCGGAGAAATGCGCATTCGGGGTCGGGTCCGGGAAGTTACTCGGATTCATGGTGTCCAACCGGGGAATCAAGATCAATCCCGACAAATCAAAACTATAGAAAACATCACCGTAGTAGACAATGTCAAGTCCGTTCAGAGGTTGACAGGGCGTATAGCCGCCCTGAGTCTGTTCATATCAAGGTCCTTCGATAGAAGCCATAGGTTCTTCTCATTGCTGAAGAAGAATAATAACTTTTCATGGACCCCAGAGTGCCATCAAGCTCTAGAAGAACTCAAATGGTACCTTTCAATTCCACTCTTGCTTCATACCCCGAAGGCAGATGAACAGTTGTACCTGTACTAAGTGGTATCCGAGATAGCGGTAAGAGGAGTCCTAGTCCCAGAAGAGGAAGGTACGCAATTTCCTATCTATTATGTTAGCACGACTATAGGTGAGGCCAAAACAAGGTATCCTCACCTAGAGAAATTGGCGCTCGCTTGGCTAAGCACCTTCAGGAAGTTAAAGCCATATTTTCAATGCCATCATATATGTGTCGTAACTACTTACCCGTTGAGAAACATAATGCACAAACCCAAGCTCTCGGGACGATTGGCTAAGTGGGCCGTGGAAATCACCGGGTACGATATCTAATATCGACCCCGAACCGCCATCAAATCTCAAATTTTGGCAGACTTCGTGGCTGACTTCATGCCGGCCTTAATACCTGAAGTCGAAAGGGAATTGTTGTTGAACTCGGGGACTCCCTCGGGGATTTGGACCCTCTTTATGGATGGTGCCTCGAACGCAAAAGGGTTTGGACTTGGCATCGTGCTGAAGCCACCCACGGGTAACGTAGTCAGACAATCTATTAGAACTATGAAATTGATTAACAATGAGGCCGAGTATGAGGCCATGATTGCAGGTCTCGAATTGGCTGAAATCCTGGGAGCGGAAGTGCTCGAAGCTAAATGCGATTGCCTCTTTATGGTAAATCAAGTCAATGGGACTTTTGACGTAAACGAGGAACAGATGCGAAGATACTTAGATAAACTACAGGTAACACTATGTCGATTCAAGGAATGGACACTACAACATGTGCCCGAGGATCAAAATAGCGAAGCCGACGCTCTGGCTAACTTGGGGTCGTCGGTTAATGACGATGAATTCAGTTTTGGGACGGTCGTGCAACTCATGAAATCGGTAGTGAAGGAAGGCCATGCTGAGCTCGAAAAATTTAAGCTAGGACTGGAGAAATAAGTATATAGACTACTTGAAGACCTGGAAGTTACCCCTGGATCGCTAAGAATTGAGAGCTCTGTGCACGAAGGCAGCCATGTTTAGCCTGTCAGAAGATAACACTCTGTTCAGGAGAACAATCGATGTCCCACTCGCCATATGCTTGCGACCAAGAGACACCAAATATGTTTTGAGGGAAGTTCGCGAAGGCATCTGCAGAAACCATTCCGGAGTAGAATCGTTGGTTCGTAAGATAATCAGAGTCGGCTATTACTTGATTGACATGGAGAAAGATGCGAAGGAGTTCGTGCGCAAGTGCGACGGCTAACAGAGGTACGCACCGATGATCCACCAACCTGGGGAGTTACTACACTCAGTCATGTCACCCTGGTCATTCATGAAATGGGGAATGGACATCGTCGGTCCCCTACCATGGGCACCCGGTAAGGCTCAATTCATACTATTTATGATTGACTATTTCTCTAAATGGGTTGAAGCTCAATCATTCGAGAAGGTTCGAGAAAAAGAAGTCATCGACTTCATTTGGGACCAGATAATATGCCAGTTCGGTATGCCGGCCGAGATAGTATGTGATAACGGGAAGTAGTTCATCGGCAACAAGGTAAGCAATTTTTTTGAGGACCATAAGATCAAGAAGATCTTTTCAACGCCCTATCACCTTAGTGGGAACGGGGAGGCGGAGTCGACGAATAAAACAATCATTCAAAACCTCAAGTAAAGGTTGACTGATGCCAAAGGGAAATGGAAGGAAATCCTACCACAAGTCTTGTGGGCATATCGCACAACCTCTAAATCAAGTACCGGGGCCACTCTGTTTTCATTGGTCTATTAGGCCGAAGCATTGATACCCATTGAGCTGGGTGAACCAAACATCAGGTTCCGATATGCAATCAAGGAATCAAACGGTGAGGCCATGAGCTCGAGCCTAGAACTTCTTGATGAAAGAAGCGAGGCCGCTCTAGTCTGGTTGGCCGCCCAAAATCATCGGATAGAAAGATATTACAACCGAAGAGCCAACCTCCAACATTTCAATATCATGGACTTGGTGTTAAGAAAGGGTAAGACAGAACACCCGAAAATCGAATAAAGGAAAGCTAGGATCGAATTGGGAAGGCCTGTATCGAGTCATCAGAATTATCGGTAAAGGCTCGTATAAGCTCGAAGCAGGAAACGACGCACAACTGCCGAACAACTGGAACGTGACCCACTTAAACCAATACTACTGCTAAGGTACAACCTCATTTATTTTCTTTAATACGAATTGGGCTAACACTTGCAGGCAACAGCTAAAGGGGGATGTAGCTTATTAGATTTGAAGTCACGCGTTGCAATGTTTTTCCCTTGAACTGATTTTGTCCCAAATGGGTTTTCCGACAAGGTTTTTAACGAGGCAACAATAAATCGTGTAACTCAGAGTCGAAGACCGGCTTTAAGTCAAAGTCAATGGTCGAATCAATAGTATTTCATTCCACTCGAAGATCGACCTCGAATACTGGGCCATCACCCCCCGGGTCATGATTTTTGGCAAGGAAGGAAACTCTGTGCTCGAATAGTCGAGGCTCGGTGGTTAGGATTCATTGTAAGAGCCAAACGGTTAAATGAACCGTGCCCGCGTAGGTCACACCGGCCACAATACGAGCTTTTATACAATCTTGTACGTTAGGCACAAAAATTAAAGAAAGTTTCTACCTTGCTAACAAACAATTTTTGCTTTTCAGAAGTAACGAGCCTAAGGGCTATTCCTACCTGAGAACTATCAATCCCAAGGCCACCCATATCTGAGCCCAAAGGGCTAACCCCAATTAGGGACTGCCGGCCTTGATAAGTTCAGACGGATCGGGTTATCAAAACCCGGAGGCACAAAACCTATTAGGTAATGCCCAAACCTAAAAGGCTACGGCTACCCTAAAAACAGCTCGGAGATGTTCGAATCATGTAACCAAAACATAAGGCCTTCAACAAAATTCCAAACCTGTTCAAAGGTTACCCTCGGTAAAATTATAGTCTAAAAACATGTAAACAAGCATTTTGGGGAAATCTTCTGGCATTCCGAGCCCCGAAAAGTTTCAAGCAAAACGTGCATCAAGAACGATTCTTGTTTGGACCTCCGAAAAACAAGTTATTACTACGTTTTATTCCTTGCTAAGGCATTTGAAATCTTTGTAATTGTAAAAAGGATGCTAAAGGTAATAGACTTGAAAATTGCCAAAACGAAAAAAAACATTATATATACATTCTAGAATGTCTTTACAAAGGCCGATGAAATCGGCCTCAACAAAAAATGTACAAAATGCAAAAACAAAAAAATAATCCTAAGGCACCTACGCCTGATCTTCACGAGGACCCGACTCGTCACCAGAACCCTCAGGGCCTTATTCATCTTCGGGTTCGTCGGAGCCCTCGGAACCTTCTTCATCTTTGGGGCCCTCGGAGCCTTATCCGTCTTCGGGCTCATCCAGCTTCTTGGCCTCGGCCTCAAGCCTTTTTGCCTCTTCAATCTCGGCAGATAGGTCGAAGCCTCAAGCATGAATCTCTTCGAGGGTCTCCCTACGAGATAGCCGCCTTACCTACTCGACAGTAGTTTTCAGGCGAGCCTTGTCTCCTTCGACATCAGCCCTATACTGGGCCACCATCTCTTCAGAATCAGCCCTAGTTGCTTTCGACTTGGACCTCGCGATTTCAAACTCCTTGCCAAGGGCATCCTGTTCAGCAATGGCCGAGCCCAATTGAACTTGAAGGTCCTCGTTTTGTAGAGCCTGTGCTTCAGCCTTCTCCTTTGTCACTCAGAGTTGAAACTCTACCGATGCCAGCTGTTCCTGGGCGGTCTTTTTTCTAAAGCCAGCCGGTCCATTTTGTCCTTCGAAATATCGCTCATGGCTTGGATCTCGTTCATCTCAGCTCGAAGTTGGTCGATCGGGTCAATCTTATGCTGAACCTGCGAGGTTTGGTCGTTAGTCGCCATAGCTAAGTCTTCATTGCTAACTTCAAAAACCTTTACCTGCTCGACCAAGTCAATATGCTCCTTTTGAGCCGTATCCAGCTCAGACTGGAGATTCTTGACGACCCCTTCGTGTTGCTCGCTGAGAAGCTTATACATGTCTCTTTTCTCCGCAAGCTCCTTAACCTCTGCCTCGAGCTGGCTAACCTCATCCTGGTACTGAAGAAAGCTTTCGTGATGAAGTACTAAGGCCTGCAAAAGGGAAAGAAAAAAATGAGAAATATTAAAAACTAAGTCAAAATTTGAAAAAGCATAATGATGCCTTACCCGGTTCAGCGCTTGCTGCGCATCGTTGAATAAGCATGCCACGTCCACCTCATTCATTTTCACCTGGTCTTCTTCGGTCACCAGGCATCGGAGGTAGCTCGCCACTCCCACAGGAGCAGAGAGAACCCGGGCATCCTCCGGGACGGTAATGATGATCAACCTCTTATTGCTGGGATCCACACTCGAGGCGGGGAACTTGTTGATTAATTTTGGTCTCGAGTTTAGCCCACTAGCTTCTGAAGACGGGTCCTTCCTTGGCACCTCCAAGTCACCCAACCCGGAGAAGTCTTCTAGAGCGGTCGAATCCATACCTTTAAAAAAAGAACAAATGGGATCGTTTGCACCATGGGCCCCTTCCTTGGACCGCTCCTTCACCGCTCGGGCCTTATCGAACATGGACTCGGTGAACGAAGGCGATCCTAAAATCTCTATTATACCGGGCGGAGCGGAGTCGGTGGAGCGGCCCTCATCTCTACATTGGCCTCCCAAACCTTAGAGGGATCAGCCTCCACTATCTTCCCATCGGCTGCCGCCCGCTCTTCGGGGGAGGTCGGTTCACGGGCCACAAAAAATATCATCTTCCTCGGGCTCATCTTTGAGCCGAAGAAGTGAGTTAGAGCTTAGTACTCGGGAAGCGGAGCCTTTCATTGGCCTATAATCCACTCTCTTTTTTGGCTTCACTGCGGGGCTCGAGGAGCCTGAAGCTTTCCTTTTCTTCTTCTTCTTTTCCCCCGCTGCAATCCCGGGTTGCCCCAAAGTGGAAGGATCAGCAGACGAGGCATGTACTCGTTTCCTTCTAAAGTCCTAAGCTTAATGGTCTTAGGCAAGCTTGCAAAAAGAAAAGAGAGGAAATTAGGATATGAAGTAAAGCAGAAGGGGGGGGCTAATATTACCTATTCCGGAAGAAGATATTACCATGAGATCGGGCCTCCTATCGGCTCTTCGAGAGTTCGCGCCATATGCGCTCGGAATAAAGCATCTGCGAAAAAATGCCCTCGATCCATTCCTTGAACCGAGGGATGGAATTTGGGACTCGAGAAACAGCTGCACCATCACCAACATTAGTAAGGAAAAGGGGGATGAACATAGATTAACGTTTAAAGGGAGGCTTTACTTACGAGATACATTCCACTTCTCGGGGAATGGAATGAACTCGGGGGGATTAAGTCTTCGGTCTTCACCCAAACGAAGCGTCCCTGCCATCCACGGTCCTGGTCCTATTCGATACTCGAGAATGGGGCTTTGTTGGCCCGGCGTACGAGCTTTATTAGTCCCCTTCGCAAGATTCGAGGATTGCATAGGCGGAGTAGGTGATTGATGGTAAACCGACGGGATTCAGTCATGTTCACGAAGAATTGAAGGAGGATCACGATCCTCCACATTAACAGATGGATCTGACCGAGGTATACTTCGTACCTCTTATAGAAGTCCAAAATAACTGGACCCACCGGGCCCAGTGTGAAGGGATAAGTGTAAACACTTAGATACCCCTCCAAATGGGTAGTAATGGCGTCCTCAGGCCTGGGACTACGACGTCCTTGCCTCTAGTTGTAGTCCTTTCAGGCCACGAGAAGGGCGTCTTCGGTAATAGAGCATATATACCTTGATACTCCCTCACCCCGTCCTGCACCGATGAGGGCTTTTCGACCTTAAAGTCATCTGTGACGGAGCACCCCCCGGGGATAAACATTTTCATGGGACGCTCGGCAGCCAGTTCATCAGGAGCCACGCCAGG